ATATTTCAAAACCTCACATTTTATCCACACAATTGTATCAATGTAAAAGTTAAAGCAAAACCTTTCCAGTTCCGATATCATGCACTAATATTAAAAACATCTTTTATCACATGAAGCCTATATATCAGAGGGGTTTAAATGAGCCAGCTCTGGAGAATTGCTTTTCTGGTACTATTTGCTGATCCTTTTGGACTATATATTCTTTAAAAATGTCCTTGAGAACTGGTTCATGTTTTTGTTTGCAGTTTGGTTTGAAAACAGAAGCATTTCACAAACTTTCTTATGTGAAAACTCTGTATTGAGTGACAAACAAGGCCACAGCATCTTCCCCACCTAAATATAAATGTGGCCAACGTTTCAAAAATCATAGAACAGATTAAGCTCATGAGCTGCAGCACCACTGTACAACCATTCTATTCCCATCTCCTGAATCTGAAGTTCTCCTGGATCCTACCTTACAAATCAACTGTCTTTTCCTGAGGTATCCAAGTGTTGGGTGAAAGAGTGTACACAAGCCTGCTAACCAGATTTGTTCAGTAGTTAAGTGCTCCTTTTACTTTTGGGGGTGATGGGTATATCCATACTCTTTACATGGTGATAGTTTCATAGTACAAATGCCAATGTCAAAATTCATCAAATAAAAAAGTGCCCAGTACTCTAACATGTACAAGGCTGGTTGTACCTACGAAGGCTACTAGGATTACTTAGCTAACCTCATCTCTCTGAATGGCACAACTATTCTAAGGATGCTGAGATACAGTTGTCACGCTTTGCATCAGCCTTCATCTCAAGATTCCTTTCCACTCTCCAATGGTGGTGACTGCCAACCCTTCTCTATCTTCCTCCTCAAATCCTACAAAGCTAGAACTCACCCCATTTCCCATTACCACCAAGTTGGGTGTATGTTCCAATATCAAAGCAATATGAAATAGAAGTTCCTGTAAGAAAAACCCATATGTTTAAGATGTTTTACATGTTTTTAGTCTTGTTAATGATTATGTATAAGTCTTCTAGCCAAGAAGATTCCCAAAGATTGCAAAAAATCCTAAAAGAAGGTCAGTGCATCAGGTAGCCTGGGGCAGAGATTCCGCTCAGGCAGATAATAAACTACTAACCTCAGGACCGAAGGGGCCGTATTTGTGTCCAGAGAAATCAGGTTGTTCAGAATAGAAGGCATAGACTGATGGCCTATGGGAGAATTAGAAGATTCAGCATCTCTCTCAAACCACACAGAACAAATATCCCTACACATACACACGCGCACACACACGCACACACACACATGCACACACACGCACACACGCACACACACATGCAGACACACCACACACATACATACATGCACACACATGCAGACACACGCACGCACACACACACACACCATGGAGAACTTTTTTTTTCCTGTTGCTTCCATACCCTCTAGACTACCCCCACTGTGGTCACTGGCAGGCACCACTTGGAGGAATCAAAAGTCACAAAGGAAAATGTGAACACACTCTCCAGTCTTTGATTCCCAGTATCACAGACCCAGTGGACAATCCTGGCAGGCCTTCCCATCTGCAGCCTGAAGCACCCTCTCTGTCCCAGAGCAAAGTCAGTCTTAATGCCACCCCGTCTCTGAGGTGCTCATGGCTCATTCATTTGCGCCAGAAATGTCCTCCCACTCTCTGCCATGGCAGCCTGAAGAGCTGTTGTAATCCATATAATTCAGGGATGCCCAACAGCCAGTCCTTCTTAGGGAAATAATGTCCTCATAGCCACAAAACTTTTAATGCTACCAATCCTTGGTTTCTGTGTACCGGTCCATTTATAGGTTTGCCCATTCTAACCCAAGTTGGAGATGTACAGAAAAAAGACAAGAGGGGGCTGGTGAGATGGCTCCGTGGTCTAAAGCACCTACTTAGAACAAGTTGAGCAAAGTACAGGGACCGCG